CACACACACACACACACACACACACACACACACACACACACACACGGACGCGCGCGCGAAGGACTCTGTGAAACGTGGATGTGCCGCATATCAAGGAATAGGGGTTTAGTATAGAAAATGAGTTGGCCTTGAAACTATAACCTGCAGATTGGGGGAAGTGTGGTAATTCCACCCACTAGCAAATCACACCTCTGTTCAAAGTAGGCCTAGATCTAGGCCTAATGGATGTTTTTGCAACACCAATACATGTATTATAATTTTTGATACGATACCAAAGAAGAGTTGTTTTGATAGGCCACCGAACTCTTCTGTTTTCTGAACCAAAGATATAACAAAAAGCAATTTCCTGTTTTCTCCCACCTAGTCTAGGGCAAGGCCAAGCCCATTGAAAATTGAGAGGAGAAGAAAATGAGAAAGATCTAGCCTATCCTTTAAGCATCGACAAAGTAAGTTCACGATTCATACTTATGATGCAGCCTAGTTGTTTATTTATAAACACTGTTGAACTAGATTTAGATCTAGATTAGATCTAGTCTAGATCTATATATGCCAACTGGGCACTCTTGTACAATTGTTATTGTGGTCCCGTTTGAGAATGGATCTACTAGAATGGGCCTAGTTTTGACCCCACCGACGATTACATCTGGTTCTAAACGATTACTTATTGATGCACTTGCCGACATAAAATCATGGGGGTTTTTTTAGGTCAGGGGGCAAGCCCTAATACCACCCTTGACTTCAGGGAACAGCTGCTTTTTCTTTCCTAATCCGTACTATCGTCATTTTCCTCTAAATCTACTTCTTTGTCTTTTGTATGTTTGTCACACTCTTGTGACCCGCTATTTCCTGGGTGCCTTGATACTCAAGCAGACTTTGTGCTGTTGAAGCTAGAGATGTGAGCAGAGTGAGTCTGATTCCCTGTAAGGACTTCTCAGTTGACATCCACCCCTTGGCGCTCATATGACTTTATGCTGTTGCGAGCGTCGTAAAACCTCTAGATCTACTAAAACAAACAACAAACAGACTCTAGTTAATTTTATTTTTAACTCTCTCTTTTTTCTTTGCCAATTTTCAGGAATGTGTCGAAAGACTGGAATGTGCAAAAGCAAAGGACTATGGTCATTGGTTATATGCCTTTTTGTTCTAGGACTGTATACAGGTGAGGATACACATTATAAACTCTGCTTTAGGATTGTTTTGTGTGGGTTTTTTTTGTTAGACTTTGAGACATACAAAATTTACAGCTGTACGACCCCCCCCCCTTTCCTCTCTCCCTCTGTCTCTCTCTCTATCTCTCTCTCTCTCTCTCTCTCTCTCTCTCTCTCTCTCTCTCTCTCTCTCTCTCTTTCTCTCTCTCTCTCCCCCCCCTCTATCTCTCTCCCCCCTTTCTCTCCCCCCCTCCCCCCTCTCTCTCTCTCTCTCTCTCTCTCTCTCTAATAATAATAGGGATATACACAGCGGCAATTGGAACTTTCCACTTGGAGAGAAGCCTGTATTGTGGTTATTTTTTAACATATAATTCAACGCAAAAAATTGACACAGACATTATATTTCAAAGTAGATCTAGATGTAATCTTGAATCTATATTTTTAAAACGTGTTACCTTTTGTTTCTGAACTTGATTTTGTCTAATATGGTGGCATAGTGTTAATTAAGCACAAACTGGTAGAATCTAGCTATCTACCCATTGATTTCAAAATTTCACGTCAGTGCCGGGCATTGTCCGAATTGTCGCCCCTTGCATCATCTGCGCAATTTTCGATCGAGTCGTTTTTGTTTTGTTTGGTTGTGGCAGTCCATTCCACTCTTGAATCAAAGCTTATCTCAGTCGTTGTAGGCCTACAATGTCAATGTCGTTTTGGGAGCTCACTCTTATAGATCTAGATCTAGGCCCAGTCAGTTCAAGAGTAATTTTTTAAAAGATGACAAATGCTGAGCATAAAAGGGCCACCTTGCTCAATGTCCGCATGTGTGTTTAAGGCCGCTGTAGCCTTCTGTCGCTGATTACTTCCAGTTCCAGTGTCAGTATGAAATTGACGTGCAGAGCTGGTCGTTGTGAGAAAACGAACTCAAAGATCCAGAGCAGTAGATCTATCTGTCTGTCTGTCTTCTTGGGCGGTATCGACCTGTGGTCTGCTTGGTCTGGGTCTGTCAGGTGTAGTAACTCTAGTAACGTGACTTGGAGCCTATCTTTCAGGATATTGATGGTAGGATGGGAGCCATGAAGCGTCCGAGCCACTCTACGGGCCGATAGTGCAGCTTGGAGAATTCCCGTTGCCCAACAGCGCTCCCCAGGGCTTAACATTGACATAATATTGTGTGGGCCTACAGCAATTCAAGTCGACAGAAATGAGCTGAAATGTGTGTGTAACTTGCTTTGTCGGTTCTAAAATCGCTACTGTGTCGATCTAAACACAATTAAGACGATTTCATAATTTTGGCGGAACTTAAGTAAGTCACAAAACATGCTAATTTGCAATTGGGTCACGTGACCACGGGAGTACATGGTGAGGGATGTGCAAAATTTCGTTCACTAACTCATGTGAACAAGGGCGCAGTTACAAAAAACAAAGTGGAAAGTTTTTATTGCCGCTGGGTATATAATATAAATATTATATATTAGGCAATTTTTTATCAAAGTTTTGTTTTTTGGCTCAACACCTTTTATGTCCCTTTAAGAATACTTTACTGTGTGGCTTTTAGTAATTTACTGAAACACGTTCATTAAAGTTATAGACACAAAAATTGTAAGTTTTAAGTTTCCACAGACTCTAAAACTATGGAAGTTACCAAACTTTGGCGGACGTTTTCTAAAAAATTTAACTCTGAAACCACACACCCCTTCTTCAATTGCAAACATCTCGACTTCTATTCAAGATGGATGGGTATTTTTCTATCGAAAGCAAGGCAAATGAACAAGCTTTCAGATGATACCTACATCTCCAAATGCCCAAAAATTTACAAGCACCTGATTTCACCCTGTTGTGACATTTATATATATATATATATATATATATATATATATATATATATATATATATATATATATATATATATATATATATATATATATATATATATACATATATATATATGACGGGGGAGGGCGGGAGGAGGTGCTGCTTGTGTCTGTTGTGTATGAGTGTGATTTTGTTGTTTCTTTCAAGTGTGAGTGTGTGGAACGTTTTATCAAGAGCAGAGTATTAATTTAATTTTTTTCCTTATTCCAGGATTCCAAGTGATGTACACTCCAGTTCACATGAGAGTTGTAAGCTTACACACAGTGAATGTACTGTAGAGTTGTCCTTTCTTATTATATTCTTGCTCACTGCATGGTTCCATAAGGAGTATTTATGGGGATGAAGTTGTTGCCCTATCTTGAGACAGACAAACAATCTGACAGACAGAGTGTGAGAGAGAGACGGACAAACAGAGGGAAGGAGAGATAAAGATAGAGACACAGACAGAATGAAAGAGACAGACACACTGGCAAAAGACGGCAGATAGGGGAAGGAGGAAGAGATGCATGGTCAAGACTTTTCTTGAATATTGCTTCTGAAAATAACTCATGTTCTAATGGTAGACATTTTCTGTGGATAATTGAGTGAGGGCTGTCCTGTTTTTTTTTTTCTTTTTTCAAATTTCTGGTCCTTGTATCAGTTGATTACTCTACTAAATTAACAACTTGTCTTGTGAAATGAGAATGATAAGTGAGGCGAAGGAAAAGGAAGAGAAGGGAAAAAAAGGAGCAGAAAGATAAAGAGGATGAGCTGGAAGAACAGGAGGAAGAGGAAAAAGAGGAGGAGTGCAGTAGGAATTTAATAAGGAAGAATAAAATTAGGAGCCGGAAGAAGAGGAGCAGTAAAGGAGGACGACAATATTGTTATCGTAGTTGTTTTTCATTTGATAGCCTGGGTTTAGTGCAACAAACAAATTGTAACCCAGTTTTCATACAATGCTTTTACGTTTCAGTGCCCAGATCCCATATACGATCAACAGTTTTACCAGAACAATGAGAACATCACCATTGTCACGATGTATCTGAACATCGGTAGCCTCACGAAGACCTCATTCTGGTTCTTCTCTCACTCTTCCTACACTACGGACACCTACAAGCAGTGGCTCATCTCATGGGGAAAGCTCAACAATAAAGTGATTGCCTTTTTTGACGATGATGCTTTTATCACGCAGTTCAGGTAGGCTGGCTTATCCACATACGCTCAGGTGTGGTTTGATCCCTCTGCAGATTTCATTAGCTCCCTGTTGCTATCAATGTCCAGGTATGCTTTAGAATGGATGCCCTGTAGTCAAATGCACGATCAGTTCAGATCAGGTTGGGTCTAGTGATGGCTCTGACCAGTTCACACTGTATCAAATGAGTGTCTGCTTTGCTTCATCAAATGTGATCCGAAGTCCATTAGAGTATGTAATATATCAAATTCTACACGCAAACTAAAGATCTAATCTCGCAATGTGTAGTAGCCTTCTGATTGGCTTTTGGTCATGATTTTGTCAAGCTGGACCCAAATGTAGAAAATAAAGTATGTGTCATTTTGAAAATTGAAGTAACTTATCATCTAAAAACGTGTTCATTTATCTTGCTTTTGATAATAAAATACCTATCTATATTGAAAAGAAGTAGAGATATTTGCCCTTTTAAGAGGTAGGGGTCACCTGATGTCAGAGAAAAAGTTAACAAGAAAAGTCCTTGAAAACTGCAAATTTACGCATTTGTGTTTTTGATTAAGGTTATTTCCGAAAGGAACATCAGAAATGTGTTTCAAAAGCTTAACACCCCCCCCCCCCAAAAAAAAAAATAAATAATAAATAAATAAAAATTCAATAAAATTGCTCAATAGGGGGAAGAAGATTGGTTTCTTTGACTTCATCACTTTTTTTTTTTCTGAAAGAAAAATGAGAGACCTGCAAAGAGCTGACAAGAGTACAGTAAAATCTTACTGAATGTTTCAACGTTTCTGTTCACAGATTACTTCGTTCTCATCTGCCAGAGAGCCATACAAAAGTCATCAAAATTAATCGATATGACTTGCCTGCTTTCAAGAACTTGGAACGGGTGAAAGAAGTTGTGAAAAATCCCTCTTTTAAAGTGTCTTACCCTCCTGAGTACACTTGTGTTATGAATGCCAAATATGATGCTTTGGACGAGGCCTTAAAGATGGTTGATTCGCAATCAGAATATATTGCGTGGATGGATATTGGACTTTTCAGGTTTGTGCTTATTTTTTTCAGTAAGAGAATATTATATACTGTCACAAATGAAAGGTAGAAGCTTAGATTTGGACTCTTAACTGGAGAGGTGTATATAAAGAAATTGTTTGTCATTATTTTAAATTGTTATGAGCTGAATTATGAAGAACGCTTGTTTGCTGGGTGGGCATAAAAAGATTCTGTGGACTTGTGGAATACTTATTGAGCTTCTAATAGTAGTCATGGAGTTTTAATAGTTGGCCTTTTTAAAAAATGATAGCACTTATCGCCTTGTTTGTGGAGTGGCTGTTTTTTCTTTATCCCATTGCTTTTGACATTTTCTTTGTCAGATCTTGACTTTAGAGGCTCTGTTTCATTGAACAGCTGGCCTGAGATTTTGTCATCATTAACCTGCTTTATTTGGCTTAGGATTTTGTAGCCAGTTTACCCTGTGAGATGTTTTATCAGACTGTTTTGAGGTATTATATTATGTTGTTTTTTTAGGCCTACTTTTTGTCTGCTTTTTAAAATCTAAGTTATAGGCGATGTTTTATCTGATAATTATAAATATTAATTAATTACACATAATATTTGATCTGATTGCATGATTTATGCTTTCAGGAGGTTGGAACCATCTAATCCTCCCTTCATCTTGAGAGTTCCTCCAGGCTTCAATAGTAGCAAGGTCGGAGTGTCTGAAGTCACAGCAAGACAAACTTTTGCTTCCTTTAGCCCGGAAGAAATTTATGAAAAGAACATTGTGTGGGTAGCAGGCGGATATATTCTAGCTCATAGAAAGGTAAGGCTTATTGATTGCTAAAAGTCAGTTAGGGATTTTAAAAAAAGACATTTCTCTTGTTCTATCTTTTTGGAGAATCTGTTTTTCTAGGGATGAGAAAAGATGTCAATGGTTTGAGTGTTGAAGGCTAAATATTGTCAGCTAGCTGTTCAAATGTGCAAGGGCGGAAAGCAAACTCTTTATGAAGAGAGAAAAGACTGTTTCATTCTTTCAACTGTTTTATTCTTTTAACTATTGTACCTACATTTATTTGTCTTTCCTCGCTTTTTTTTTCCAACATTTAGAATTTAGATTTTAACTAAATTTTTCATGAGCACATGCAGCTGATACCACAGATAAAGAGACTGCTTCAAAACGATTGCAAAATTATGGGACACCTGAACAACTGGTGGATAGAATGCACACTGAAATGTGGTAACATTATGAAGGGCATTTTGCCTTTCCTCCCGGATCCCAAGGAAATTAAAGATGCTTTTCAAATAAATAAAAGTCGTAAGCAGTATTTTGTCTCTTGATGTTCTTCGTGGAGTTTCCCTGGTTGTCCTCCTCCTTGGCTCCGTCCTGTGATAAATGGAAATTAAATGAGAGGGCTCCTCTTAAATTTCCATGTTGTATTGGATGGAAATGAAAGTTGTTATATACTGTACTGGTTGGAATGGTGTTGTATTGGTAGTGTTCAGGGTGCCCACTGAACTGGGAAAATATGGGAAAAAGCCGGGAATTTTATTTTCAGATTTCCTGGTCGGGAAAACACCATGAATATGAATGAAAATGAAAATATCAGAGAAAAAGCCAGGAAATCAAAGGGCTGCCCATCATTATGAATTTGAGGAAATCATTAAAGATTTTAAAAAAATTGTTTCAACTTTACTATAATACCTTTGTAACACCCCACCCCTCATTCCGATTTTAAAAAATAAAATATTTGGAGTTCCGCTACCCCAACCATCACGACCTTCCCAGCATATAAGTTAGGAAAAGTCAGACCCTGACATTCTAGCTTACCTCATTATGTCACATGCAGCTGTCTAACTTTAACACCCTCTGTGCACAGAGCCCTTGTAGTCACTCTGTGACACTGTGCCCTTAGAAAAACATATTAGCTGGGAGTAAGGCTAACATTAATTTGACAAGGTGTTGAAAAATTCCTGCACCTTTGCTTTGTGGGTGATTACTTGGGCCAATGAGAGAATTAAAAAACAAACAAACAAAAAAACTAAAAACAGATCAAGTTCGATACTATCGATACTTTAGACCATCACAGTTGTGGCTTTGTGTAGTGATGCACAATCAGAATCAAGGGCTTGTGACATGTGTCCTTGGTTTCTTTTGTTTTTGCAAGTGTCAAGCCAACAGACAATAAGTTACCCCCCTCCCTCTTTTTTCCCCCCTAATTCGACAATGACAAGCCCGTGGAGACCTCTTTCATCCCTCCTTTGTTTAAGTTACAGTTACCATACAATCCCAGTCCTTGACACTCCAGGAAAAGCAAATGTTCATGGCCATATTGTGATTTTTATTGTGCATTTCTCGTTATTTCTTTTTCCTAGCTCTGTCTTCTTTCTTTTTTTAAAAGTAACTTTAAAATGATTACAAAATCCAGGAGTCAACCAGGGGGGAAAAATTGAAATTTTTTCTCTTTGGTAAGTGAGAATCCTGATTGTTGCTATACTTGCTGATTGTGAGCTGATGAGGATGAGGATAAAAGTTGTGGTGGTAGTGGTCTATTTTCAGGATGATTGAGTTCTGAACTTATTTACCTGTCAAAATACCCCCTTTTTCTTGACTTGTTATTTTCACAAGTTCACCTATTTTCCCTAGGTGCTGCCTAAATTCATAAGCGCCTACAGATCGGCTGTGGACAGGCTGTTGGATCAGGGGTTGGCAGACACGGACCAGCAAGTCCTAGCCTCAATGTACTCTCCTCCAATGGCGCACCAGCAGGAGGTCACTCTTTCTACATACAGCTGCCCCAGGGGCTCCTTTGGGCTGTTTGGCCACGGTTACCTCTACTTTTGCCTTCCTTACATCTGCAAGGAATCAGCAGAATGTCACAAACAGTTCAGATTACCTGAAAATGGGCTTAGTATAACTCCTATGTGAACATTTTTTTGAGATGTGTTACTAGAGATAGTTAGTATTTTTATCAATGGAATCCCCATGCCTCATGCACAACCGGTGTAGAGCATTTTTTTTTTTTTTGGGTGCTGATATTAAACAATTTTTGAAGAGCTCATTTGGGTTCTGTTCGAAGTAAATGATCATTTATTTGATTTCAATACCAAGTATTACTTGTCCATTTTGTGATTTGGTGCTTACAAAAGATGAGAAGGAAGATTATTACTGATGTAAGTTCCCCTTATCCTATGGTTATAGTCTGAAAAAAGTTTCAGCTGAGACAGCAGTCATTTTTAAACTGCTCTTTTATTTAGTGATACTTGAGGTTTAACACTTTGCCCCCACAGGACGCCGATCAGCAACCGTAAGAAGCTGTCTCTTTTTCCCACGGGACGCTGATCGGCGCCGGTGTGAGATACCTTGTACTGCATCTGTATCTTGGTCCGTAGGGATAAGTGTTGCGTGCTGCGTGGGTGGAAAGTGTTAAATAGATTTGTTTTTGTTTCTGTTTGCTTGTTGGACAGCAGTTCAACCCAGCTAATGGACGAATTTTGGTCTCATTTCATGTTTAAAAACAAGTTTTCTGTACATCATGGAAAACTGCACCTTGCCATTACACCACATGCTTCCATTTTTTTTTTTTGTTTGACCAATGTTTTTGGGGTATAGTTTACATACCTTTTATCAGCTCATTCATTTGCTCACTTGATATGTGCGTGCATGTATTTGTTTATTTTGGTTTTATAGTTTTTGTATTTTTAATGATTATGTGCTCATCGATCATAATGTATAAAGCACAAGACACCAGAGTTGCATCAAAGATAATCAGTAGCAAGCTGCTCAGATGCTCTAGGCCCAGAAAGCAAGATTTTTCAGTGAAGAGAAAAAAGTTTCATTCCTTTAAGAATTATACCTATTTTATATATCTTTTCTTGTCTGCATTCAGAATTTAAACTTTGACAAAATATTTCTCAAGTATATATGCAACTGATACCACAGATTAAAAAACCTGCAATTTAAACAGGGGGAAAAATGAAGATTTTGGGCTTAGTTCATCTGGACAGCTTTCAGACATAACATGCTTTTTACATGGGTGTTACACATTTTACCAGATTAACTTGTTGTGAAATCATCAAGGTGACAACATTCCATAGGAAGGAAGCATTCAAATTAATATATTCTCATAAGTACTTGCATGACATAATCTTAGGTAGATGTTTGTTATAATCTGAAATCTCTTGTTGTAGTCTTAAATTTCTAAGGACAGTCTCTGGTTCAGCAATCAGGAATTTGAGGGCCTTGTCACATACACTACTCCAAAACCAGTCCCACTAAATGTCATTTTGTTTGCTGTTTATCATCTGTTGTTATCTGTCTTGGATTGTGTTTTGAAAAAATTGGCCAGTCTGAATTAGCCTTGGTAACATTTAATCTAGTCCTATGTAGTGACTAATTATCTTTTTTTTTTTAATGGTGCCAAAGCTACTTACTGTGGAAAAGTCTCATACATCATCAAGAATCTTATAGCCAAGTATTATGGTAAAGGAGAGGAGCTTCTCATGGGTCTGCATGAACAAACTTGTGAATAAAAAGTCTCTAAAAGGAAAAGCTTTTTCATGGACAACCCTCTCCCCACCTCACCTCCACACGTAAGCCTTCAAGGGTTCAAGAGTAGGTTGAATGTTCACATGGTATCATGCTGGGTTATGATGGCTCAGGTCTATTAGAAATGGACATAAACTCAGTTGACCCCTGGGCATGCCTGAATGTGACTAGCTTTACCGTTCTGTTCACGGAAGGCACTCTTCAGCAATGCAGTGGTGTATAACTGGTAGTCTATGCCCAGGAGCTGTAGTGCAGAGGTTGTGCGAGCTGGACTTTGAAGAGAGGGCTCAAAAAGTTAATCCGAAGATCCATTACATACTGCATAGCATGCTCACCATATCGGTTAATTTATCTGTGGTCTGAATTGTGAGAGAAATCTCTAATATCTTATCGGCTAATGTGAGATCTCAACTTGTTTGTTTAGCCTGGTCTTAAGGTTTGGGTTGGGAAAGTCAGTTGGACTAGCCTGTATCCTCTCACTCTTATCAAGGGTAGTTGGCAAAATTGAGCTTTGACATCTGACAGGCTTCAGCACTATGAAGACACCCCCCCACCCCCTTCCTCCATCCCCAGTGGTCTTGTAGGCTATAGGCTCAGAAAACAGAAGCCTTAGTCATAGTGATAATAAAAAGCATGTGCCTTCAAACCTGCAAAGACTACTTTGCTAAAAGGTAGTAGTGCCTACAGCTAACTCCACTTGGGTTGAACTCGTTTTAGTGGATGATCTTCGGTTTAGTTGTTCTTTTTTGGGGGGGGATCCCAGCACCTCTTCTTTTTTACAGGTCCCAACAGTTAAGTTGAACTTCGGATGAGTTATCTTTTTTTCACTCCCTAGATGACATCAACTCATCCATAGTCGACTAAAATAGATTATTTTCAATTATGCTTCTGCTACAGTAAGAATTTTAATGTGTAAAGCAGTCCTTGGGGCTTTTGTAGAGGGTGAAAATGTTTGTAAGCTGTATACTTACCGTGCTTGATTAACAAATGTTTAGTCAACAGAGATTTTTTTTTCATTTTTCTCGTATGATTTGATAAGACAACTTTTCTTAAATTTTGTCATTTTTGGCAGTACAGAAAACAGGAAAATTAAGGCCTAAAGGCTTTTGTATTGAGTGCTTATTGTCATCTTTGACAGAAATTTCATAGGAAACTGAAGTCTTTTGCATTGGCAAAAAGTTAATCCAGCCTAGCACGTACATGGGGAAAGGATTTTCAGGTACAAGTTAGATTTTCTTAAACACGACCACTAAGTTTGTTTACCAGAGAGGTAGAGAGAGAAAGATAGTGGGTACAATATAAATGAAGACCAACAACCTCTCTATAGGTGAGAATGGAGGGCACAGAATATTACAAAGAAAAATTAGTATGCTATGAAAAGATTTCTGCATCTGGCTGATTTCACTCTGCTGACTTGAAGATTATTTTAGCAAGTTTGAGCTGCATATATATCAGGCAACATGTACATTTTTATAGACAATTTGATAATTAGGCACTCGTAGGCTGACCCCTAAAGGGGATTTTATTTTATGATTTTTTATAACTGCAATTTTAGATCTTCTTTACCAGTGTTTTAAAATTCAACTTCATAGTGTTGACAAAAGCAATTTTTTAAGTCTTAGGCCAATGGTTCATAAAATTCACACCAAGGAAACAGGTCTGGCCAAAATCAGGAAGCAAATTAGATTTGCAGTCTTTGAATGTGCTCATGGAAAACTCTGATTCTGTTTCTTGTGTTTTCTCATATGGTTTACCGAAGCTCTCTTTTTGCAAACTTTCTAAACAAACGTAATAATCTTGAAACTATAGCTCTTTCAAAGCCAGGCTGCAAGAATCTTGTCTATAAAGAGGAAATGTAACCATGTTATCCCTATTTTAAAAAGTAGGTCTAAACTTAATTGCTCCCAACAACAGCAAGCATTGCTTACAAGATTGTTGTCCATTTCCACAAATGTGTAAATATTAAAACCTTTTTGTATTCAAACAACCTCATTCAATTTATATTCCACCAAAACCTTTAAGTTTAAGATCAGTGGATCAGTCCCTTAGGGCAGCACCCAGTGAGGGAGGTGAAGAACTCGTTGACAGGTCCTTTCCTCATCTAGCTCCGTCAATCGGGGACTCTCTCCCATAGTATATGAGGGATACAAAGTCAAAGGCAAAATTTAAAACTCATGTAATAACATACTTCATTAAATGCCACCTTGAGAGTCCTCATTCATAGTACTCATCTTAAAAACGTGATGGGCATAAAGTCACCAGTTATGCTGTGATAGTAAGAATGTCTGCTTATGTGTTAAGGTTTAATCTAAGCATGTGTGCAAGTTCTTGCATGTATATTTTGTGCTAAAATGAAGGTTTTGTGAAGTGCTTAGAGCTATATTGTACGGGAGTGGCCTCAATATAAATTGTCTGCATTATTATTAGTATCATTATATAAATGAAAGACTACAATTTGTTTCAGGTTTTGATCTTACTTCCCCTTGATCTGTCCAAGTCTTACACAATGGGGAAGACCAGAAGAAAATGAGATATTATTTAATGAATGACTGTCTGATTGCGTCCCATAACTTACCAACCATTGTTTCATATATTATGAATAAATTGTACCTTATTTAGTCTGTTTTTCAGGTCAGTGTTCAAAACTACATGTATCGACTTTCATACAATGAAATGTAGGGAGACAGACAGAGAGGGGAGATCTGAAGATACTGAGAGATAAAGAAGCGAAAAGAGTGGGGGAGAACGAATAAAAGAGTGTGTATATGACAGAGAGAGATAGAGAGATCTCTGATCTGATTTGATATGATTTGAAAGCGCAAAATGTATCTATATTGTAAAAGGTGAATACAGTGATGTCGACTTGACAGCAATCCAGTTAAAGAGCAACCTCCGCCTAACAGCAACCTAAGCTCATGTAAAAATAGAATTTTCCAATATAAATAACCTCTTTAACAGCAACCTTTACCTCTATAACAACACCCTTTGTTGCTATAAATTGTCTCGTGGAAATTATTTTGGGCTATTAAAAAACAGTGTGAACACAAAGAGTGAGTGCTTCCCCTCTTACTACTTCTACCTGACTGAACGGAAAAATCCTGGCCATTGTGCATAAAATCACTCTGGAAGGAGCATAAGCTCTCTTGAAAGAACAATCTGGTCAAACCTCGGCTACTGATCCTGCTTATGTTATTACTTTCATAAGTAACATGAACATCCTCCATGTACCTGTGTCTGTGTGTGAGAGATTTCCTGCATCGCCGCCCTCCGCCTCCTCCTTTGAAAATTAAGTTAGTAGCAACTTCCACCTAAGAGCAACCAAGGATTGCTTCCCAATGGGGTTGTTGTTAAACAGACACCTTTGTACTTTTTCTGTTACTTTTCTCAGTATGTTACATTATACGTCTTTTTTTTTTTCAAGTTCTCTCCTAGTTTTTTATACAGTGGTGACGTAACACACCAGGAAGTTGATGCTTGTCTTCAACCAAATCCTATACTACCCCTTAGATCAGTGCTACGTGTGAGAGGAAATTTTAAAAAGAAAAGAAATGTGAGGCATTGTCGTAAAATCAGGCACTCATCAGAATAATGAAATCGAAGATATCTGCATTTTTCCACTGGTTTAGCAATTTTTGTAGAATTTTTGTTTTTGGCTCGAAATCTTTTATGTCCAATTAAGAACTTTTTTTTTGGGTGGATTTTACGGAAAAATGTTGATAAAAGGCATAAAAATTGTAAATTTTTAGTTTCCAAGTACTCTAAAGCGGTGGAATTCACCAAACATTGGCGGCTATTTTCTCAATAATTTGGTCTCTGAAACCAGCCGACCCCACCTTTTTCATTCGCAAACATACTGACTTCTATTAAAGATAGATGAATATTTTTTCATCAAAAGATAGGCAAATGCTTTACGGTGATACCAATTAACTCTACATGCCCAAAAATTGACGAGCGCCTGATTCCACTGCGTAGTGACACAAATAGTTTTTTTCATTCATCTAAAAAACTTTGCCTTCCGAACTTGGGACTTTTATTGCATTTCCAAGATGCTCTTCTGTTCTTTTAGAATTCTCATCTACTTTTCACTTTGTTACATTTTTCAAGCATGTTATTTTTATCACCATAGCCCTTATCACTCTCTGTCAGCTCCTGTGTATGTGATGTTTTTTTTACTGAAATGTTTTTGTAATACTCAAGATTCTAGTGAATGCCAAGTGTTGAACAAATGATAGAAATGTATACTTAACGTTCTGGATTCAGTCAGTTTCATTGTTGAATATAGAATGAAGTTGTTTGATATGCAGCTGTCATTTGACTTCATTGTCAACTTTTTTTATTGTCATGTATTAGAAAAATGCGCAGGCTCCCTTCCTTTGCCAGCTGAGAGGCTCTTGCCATTTGTTTTCTTGTAATGTTCTGTTGTAACGGAGGGTTTTATGTGAATTACTTTGTACTTGCTGACCGGACTTGTCATTACCACCAGTTTAGTATATTTGTGAAGGTTATTGTCCTGGTCATGCAGAATTAATGTCAAGCTCATTCATTCCTACAGTGTTTCAAGTTCTGTTTGTGTTGTCTTGTGTGCACGTTCAGTGATATGAATTTTGTAGTGGCATTTTCAACAAGGTCAAGTGTTTTATATCAGGCCTCATGTTAACTCCCTTATTTCTCTTACTGCCTTTGGAGATGTTATAATAATAAATGTTACCGACATATTGATACTTTTTTGCTATGGCCATGTGACTGAAAGAAGTAGATTGACTCTGATTTTTTTTTCTTAAATCATTGCCAGTGTCATTCTGAGGATACTCAATGAAAATTTTTCCTCAGGACATGGATCCTGGATAGACATCTATTATAACTTATTAACTCTATCATTTTGTACCCCCAGGTTGTATTCTCCACAATTTAGAATACTTCTAGTGCAAAGATCTCTTTGAAACTTTCAGTATTTCTCAAATGTCAAGGCAAAGCATACGGATTGGATTAACGAGTAAATTTCCTGTTTAGAAAGGGGTGGCACAGAGTTCCCCACGTCGTATGGATACGATAGTAAAACACGACGTACAGATAGGGTTAAGCTGTAAGTTCATCTTTCTTGAAGTTGACTTTGTGTGGGGAAAGATTTTATATTTGTCTCACTGTAAAAATTTTTAAAAGAAACCAGATGCAGGGTTAGAGCATAACAACATTGATATGTTCTTGATTGACTTAGCAGAAAGTTAATGCTCTTATAGGTGGGCTGACAAATGCAATGTGTCTTTAGCTCAGAAGATCGTCAGATTTCTCTGTATATAGCTTTCACTTTTGTTCAGGGTTGTTTGGCACTTCACAGAGAAGCAAACTTCTACTGAGAGACGGTGTCTAAATTTAACCCTTCTATATTCTGCTCTAGGGAATGTCATGTTGGAGTGAAATTGCCAGGTGACCTTGTAACACATGACACAGATAATACAAAATAGATTATGTTTTTTCCACTTTTCTCAACGTCGGTATTCTAAGTATTCACACACATACACAAGCAAGAGTTGGACACAGATGATATATAACATTTGTAAAAACACGTAAGTACATATGTGAGGCAGCGTGGTGGAATCAAGCTCTCGTCAATTTTTGGGCATGTAGAGTTATTGGTATCATTTTAAAGCTTGTTCACTTGTCTTTATTTGGATGAAAAAAATGTCCATTTATCTTTAATACAAGTCTAGATATTTTGCGAAAGAAGGAGGGTTGGGTCACCTGTTTTCAGAGGTAAAATTAGTGAGAAAATGGCCGCCAAAGATTAGTTATTTCCTTAGTTTAAGAGTCCAAGGTAACTGAAAATTTACATTTTTTGTGCCTTTAATGAACGTTTTTCAGAAAAATCCACCCAGAAATGAGTTTTTTAATGGGCATGAAAGGTGTTGGGTCGAAAAACATAAATTTGATAAAAATTCACAAACCTGCAGAAAAATGCGCGTTTCTTCACTTTGATTATTTTGACGAGAGCCTGATTCCACCACGCTGCCTCACATATGTACTTTGCATCTTGGCAGACAATCTCAAAGCAGTCTAGTCTTCATGATTCAGCTTTGCCAGGGTGATATACTGTAATATAATACATAGAGATAGTAGCTTGCCCTAGTTACTACTTCCCTCCCTTCAGATTTCGACTTTTCTTTGTAGGCCCCTATTATGCTTTAACTTTTTCGCATCACGCCGCACCACGTTGGCGCGCTGTTTTTATATTACCTCGGAACGTACCGCTCCTCTTTGGCGCGCGCTATTTCACAACCTTTCACGACGGGACGCGCCACCCTGGATTCCCCTACTTGTGCATGCTACAAAAAGTTTGCCTTTTCGTTTTTCACTTTCAAACTTTCAGAAAGTATTCAGATACCACTTTGGAATTGTTTCTTGCTGTCAGAAGTTGAGTTGCTTGAACACATTTCGATTTACCGGCGAATTTCTGAGGTCACTTTCCAGAGCGTTCCGGAGAAGTTTTTCATACAATATGCTGAACGTTGTGGCGCTTAGACAGACGCTGAGAAGACTCACTCTCAAAGAAGTCATGGATTCTATCTATATAGAATGGACCGATGATGAAGATGATTTTGAAAGGATGAGGATACTATGCCGATTGACTATAAAGCATAACGGTTAAATTTTTGCTTAAGAAGCAACTAGTAGTGAATCGAGAATGCGTGAGATGAGAATGCATAGACATTGATGATGAGATGATGGACGATAGGACTGACCGGTTGTTGAAATTACGAAATGCCGACGAATATACTGTAGAGCTGTAAAGGAGAGTATAGAAAGACCAAAAAATGAATAAGAATAAGTGGAGGGATTAGAAGATAAAATACTGTGGGCTCGAAACACAAACAACTTTCCCCGCTCTTCTCAGTTTACTGGTACATGTATTTGGTGGAATCAAAATCTCACAACCCAAACAACCGTTTGCATCAGATATTTACTGACTGATCATTACAGAGGCGGTTATAAACTTTTATAAAACTAAATCAAAACGACAAGATGGGAAAGGGATCGATGGCAAAGATCTGCAAACCTTGGCAAGTCGTTTACGTTGCAAAACCAAGAAACCAGATAATCTAGTAGAAATGGAATTATTTTTTGTTATCTATTTTCTTTCACATGGGTATACTCAAGATACTGACTCTCTGCGACCGCTGACCTGGAAGCCCATGCTTGCACTCATCTGTCTGCTGAATAATGATGTACACGCAAAGAAAAGATTTCTTGACGGTTCTCTCTTCTCGTTTCATATGTCAAACAACATAGCGCAAGTGGACTACGGAGAGCTTTTTCATGACATAAAAGATGAAGCATTTAATTTATCCCGAATCTACAAGAGAAAGTTTTTTTTTTAACTTGTGAAAAGCATAACAGGACTTCGTATTGACGAAACCATGGTATATTTCAAAGGCCGTTCCCGATCCAAGGTTTATAAATCTGAAGGATAAACCCACCAATGAAGGATTCAAACTAAGTGAAGTTTGCGAGAGAAAATCAGGGTACGTCTCTGTTCTGTAGTGATGTACTGTGTCAAAAGACGAATCAGCGTTTCTCTTTGCTGAAAAAAAACACACAAAAAAAAAACAACCAAAAGAAAGAACCACTTTGGAATGTTTTAGGTTTGAAGGCTCGAGGGAAGCGGAAACGTAGCAGGTTTTGGAAGGGTAGGCCTATAAATCAGCCCTGCTTTTGAAAAGGTGAAGGTGTTTTAACTCAGGACCCACTCAACATACTACCCAATGCTACAAACAGCACAGTGGTTGAGTGTGATAATGGCATCATAAACATGAAAGGGTATTTATTGGCATTTTTTGTGCTATAAAATCGAAACTTGAATCTGCTTGTGCCGTCTTGAGTGAGAGAAACGAAAAGCTGAAGAGGCCAACGGGCTTGGCTGCAATTGTAATATGAGGAACAAACAAAATGGCACGCTTTCTAATTGGCCACAGAAACTTAACGGAAGATTATTTTCATCCTAGACTACAGAGATTTAGACAGGTTTGCTTTCTCGGTGGATTGCCAGATTTTGTGA